TATCTCTAAATCATGAATCTGTTCGGGGTCCGGAACGCGTCGGGAGTTGGATCAAATCCCAAAACAAAACAACAAAAAACTAACAGAAAAATCAGGAATCTGACTAATCTGGAAACTGCAATCTGTTGCTCTGTTAAAAGCTCAAACTAAATCTCTGAAAGATCAACTGAAAGTTCTGCTGATCCAGACCAGGTTTTGAGGAGTGGAGATCCATTAGTCCTGGCTGGAGCTGGAGGTGTAAACCGGCTTAGCTTTAAACCCTCTGATGTGTGTAAACGGACTCTCTGTGATGCTCGCCTGCGTTAATGAAGACGCTCTGAATAAAACCACCTGAGGTCACACAAAGGTTTCAGAGGGGCTTGGAGCAGCAGGAACACACAGGAGGCTCAAAAAAATAAGCAAACAGGCATCCCTGCAGACAGACACGTCTCCGTGGAGACGGCTGGAAGTGTGTATGTGTGTGTGTGGGGGTGGGGAAGGAGGGGTGATAGCAGACACCACCTTCTCCAGCTGGCATCGGGAGGCGGGGACAGGTAGGCCGAGTTGTACAGAGAATTGTCCACCTGGGGAGACGCAGGTTAAGGAACAACAACATCACAGCATAAAAACATAAACATTCAAACTGGTTTTCTCCAAAAACAATCAAATCAGCTCCTTCTCATTATTGTTGGTTCATTTAATGTCCAAAAGCAGGAATATTCTGGAATATATTTGCAGATTTTAAAAAGGATGGATTAAAATGTTAGACGAATAAAAACAAAAAAAAGCAGCTGAAAGTGGAGCAGCATCAGAAATCCGGATTTACTCTCATTTTAAAATCTGATAACAAATCTGTGTTTCATCACAGAGAAAGAAAGCAGATTAAAGGTGCTCCGTTTAGCCTTCCTGTTATCATATCAGAGTCTCGCTCTCTCCAAGCCAAGCCACCGACTCCTCCTGAAGACGGTGGTCAGCAGAACCTGGTCTGCAGGAAACAATCCATCATCCATCCATCCGTAGAATAGGCTAAATTAAATATATAATATATATAAAAAAACATTAAATGAAAACACTAATCTGCTGCCATGGAAACCAAGGCCGATCCACCACCATCATCATCCCTGCGCCTACCTTCAGAGCGGCAGCAGCCATCTCACCAGGTCAGCCTGCATGCAGCAGAAAAGCTCAGAGAACAGATTCAGACACGGCGTGAGGCGAAGGATACTTGGCGGTTTCGGTACGGTCGGACGGGCGAGACGAAGCGGCGGTCCCTCTGGACCCTCTCCACCAGGCCGTGATGTCGGGTCGAGCGGCTGGACTCCAAGCCGGACTGGAAGGAGCCCTGAGAGGCAGAGACGGGGGAAGAAGAGAAGATGAGGACGTAATCTGGGGTCAGAAGACTTAATCTGATCTTTTTACCTAATAGAGCAAATAG